CGGTAGCGGCGCGCGGCCCGGAGGGAGAAACCCAGAAACACACTCTCCTTCCGGCCTGGGCTCTACGGTGGCCGGGCGAGCTCAAATCTCTCAGGAACGTTCCTAGAGCTCGCGGTGATGCCTCTGCGTTTTTGTCGCCGCCTCCGCTGAGCTTCGACCCGCTTCACTCGGGAAGTGTGCAGTCATATCTGGGGGAGACAAAATACATAATAAACAAGGAACCCGGCCGGACGTGGTGCCGCACTCCTGTAATTCCGAGCTGTAGAAGGCTGAGGCAGCGGGATCCAAAGTTTGATCCCAGGCTGACAATTTAGCAACTTAGCGAAACCCTATCCCAAAATAAAAATGATAGAGGAGGGGCTGGGGATTTAGCTCAGTGGTTCCGCCACCTGCCTGGCAAGCGCAAATCCCTGGTACCAAACAAACTAACAAACCCAGAAAGAGCGACCTGGGAGCCCGACGTGGTTGCACACACCTGTATACCCAACTCCAGATCATAATGTGTCTGTCTTGCAGGGTTCGCTATTTCTTTGAATGTGTACTTTTAAGTTTATGCTTAATAAATACCTTTATGCACGTCCTCACAATTCTTTTTCTGCTACAGGTGTCAGGGAGCCTACACCTTAATTCTGCGCCTAGGGTGGGTTCAGGTTTTCTAGTTCAGACCCTATGGTTGTTTGAGCCCGGGAGTTTGAAATCCAGTCTCAAAAATGAGTGAATAGGCGGAGTGTGGTGGCGCACACCTGTGATCTCAGCACTCGGAGGCCGAGCCAGGAGGATCGCTTCCAGTCCCAGGCCAGCTTGGGCTGCACAGTGAGTTCAAGGCCAGCCTGCACTACATAGGGAGACCCTGTCTCAAAAAAGTGAGTAAATATAGAATCACTTGCTTTGCTGATGCTTGTGGCCCTGCTTTTACCTTTATGATTAATTGGACACACCAGGAAATGAAACTGTCATTCTGGTTAAGAGCACAGGTGGGGTCCCTGACACAAGCTTTCCCATGCAGTTTTCTGTTTCGCAGATCCTTCCTGCCCTGGCTGTCCTGGGTCAGGATGGATCAGAATCTTTAGTAATCAGGTACTGATGAGGCTGCTGTTTCCCTCCAGGCCCACACCTGCATCACTTACTCTTTTTACACCTTGCTGGTTTCCTTGACTGGAAACTGAAAACCTGTGATGCTTTTTAAGATTAATTTGTCTAGTGTACTTTGTTTTTCAGTAAAGACAGGATTCCTCACTAGACTAATGGAGGTAACCTGTAACGTCAGGTGGTCTCTATCCACTCATCTTCCTAGCAAGTCTGGAGAGTTAAAAACAAAACAGAGCAAAACACAAAACAGCCTTCAGGGTGGCTCCTGCCTGTAGTCCCAGCTGCTCTAGGAACTGAGGCGGGAAGACTGCTTGAGCCCAGGAGTTCGAGGCAGAATCGTTGTGAGAAATCATCTCAAGAACAAAGAAAAATTTTAAAAACCTGATGAATAAAATATCAGTGTTCTACATTTGAAGACTGAGATTTTTTTTTTTTTTTTTTTTTTTTTTTTTTTT